CAGGTTTATTCTGTTTCTATAAGTAGTAGAAACCCAATATCAGTCAAATACCTAAAAATAAGCCTTTGAGCTCACATGTTGTGCAATCCAAATCAGTGAACTTGGGAACTTTTTTTAAAACTATCAGGCACTCATATCCACCCAGAGAATGAACGGCATCCGGGAATATCAATGACTTATCCTTATTTTAGTATATTACCAAACTCCATGTCATGCTGCATGCCTCCATCATTGGTGGATGTTATTCGTCTGTTTAGAGAAGCAATATCTTAGTATAAACATATTGAATAAACTTTATAAAGATATGCATGCTCTTCCTTTTAGAATTGTCTAATTGCCTCCCATCCTTGGCCTGACAGTAAACAACTCTACCTTAGCTACGCTGTATTGTAGATCAAAGTATTATGATGTCAGTCATTGAATTTCAGTTCCCAGGAAGATGGAAACAATTTTCAAGCAAAACACAAACAAGGGTGCTGGATTCCTTTAGAACAATTACCTTTGATGAGTTGCTGGATTTGTGAAATTGTAGTCAGATTCACAACAGTTTCATGGACTGTGCCTGTTTAAAGTTTTGGTTTGAAGGAAAGTTGAAGATGACAATAGTGATTTTTATTCAATCAGAAAATTAACCTTAGCTCGGTATGAATATATTAGACGTATTTATGAGTTTACTTGTAATCAGGGAGAAGTCTCATTGAATATTAACTTAGCAAATAGCACATTTCCCCTTCAAATTAAAAACAGGCCAACTGTTTGGAGCTCTATGAATGTACTTGTTCTGTAATTACCATGAAAGCAGTATACAGTTAGGATCTATGAGATGCAGCCGTTTTGTCACTGCCACTTTGGGTATGCCTCTTCATGTCATTTGAGAAACTACTGTGGCAATTAGGTAGAGCCTTGTGCTTTCCACTAAATAGGAGGATGTCCTGAGATCATGAAAGATGCTGCATAAATTCAAGCCATTCCTTCTTTCGCTGTCAGTTTGCCGCCAAAGGACTGAATTCACCTAAAGTTTCGCAGGGAGGAGTGCTCAAGTAGTTTGAAATGCATATTCACGAATTTGAATTGTGTAGCACTTCTTTTTGAAAACACAAAAAGGAAGAAAGGAAATATTCATTGTCAAAGAACCTCTTTTCAAAGTTCCCTGTATCAGATTGGTACCATGTCATAGCTTCATTCCTTAAGGTCTAAACTTTAGTTTCATAATTTGAATAGTTGAATCATAGATTTGGCACAACAAGGAGATCTGAATAAGTCTGTTTCCCTATTTTGATTAGACTGGGCGGAACATTCGAGATAAGATTAGAATTAATTGTCTTGCCTTCACATTATATCTTGTGAATTTTGCAGTTCTGAATCTACTGTTAGATCAGTTTTCACGCATTGGGTGACATGCATATCACTGAGTGCTTCAGCTTTGTTTGCATTGTATTCCAGCTGGTTTATGTACTAATTTACCTCACCAGAATTATATTGAATCTGTCAAGTGACAGCTGTCCGCAGTACGGTTCCCATGGGCCATTCTCAAAAACTGCACGGTGGTGCGAGTTAATTTTACATGTCAAAGATTTAAGTTCATTACCAAAACAACATAAATAAGTTTCACAGACATGCAGTGACTTTGACCAGACGTTGTGTGGACTAATAATGTAATGCAGAAAGAAGCTCCATTTATCCATCTCCGGATCAATTCAGGAATCCCAAAATACGCCACACAACTTACTTTGGAATGTAGTTACTGTTAATTAGCTGAATAATTTTACACACAATAATGAAATGAACTAATCTGCTTTTTATGTGTTGCTTGAGGGGATGATCATTGGCTAAGATATCTGGAGATGTGCAGTATAGAAACAGACCATTCAGCCCAACAGTTCCATGCTATTGTTTGTATTACAGGCGAGCCACCTCCTTCCACTCTGCTTTTAACATTCACTCCAGATGCCAACTTTAGGAAGCGTGGAGTCCAAAAACCCATATCCAAAAACCAGTGGTATACCCGCAGAGTGCTCTGTTGGGAGAGATTGAAAATCAATTTGGATCCCAACCTTTTCTGTGGTTGTATCCAGTTGGAGTTGTTACAGGTTCTACCTGCTATTAAAGCTAATAAGGCTTAAGGAGGAAACACCCTAAGCTTGGCATGAGTTGTGTGGCTGATTCAGTGGGAAATGAGATGTACCAATCTGAGGCACACCAGCTTTCTTGCCAGCATCTGGAGTAATTGTCTCTCTGATGTTGAAGGATGATGGGTCAGCTCAAGTTTCTAGTTGGGCTGGTAGTGGTAGCAGCTTGGCCAGTGTCTACTGAGTATTACCTGTTCTGCAGCCCTTGGTCTCATAAGCTCTCAGTGGTCCAAAGGCACTTCTGGCGTCTATTCCAACCATATGATGTCTCACTGCTCTCAGATATATTGTCAGGGTTCCTTCTTTATTTAAGCCAGTTTGAATTGGAATGAGGAACTTCTACATATGGACTCTTTTGTTCCCTGCAATAGTTTTAGAAGGAACTTAAACTAAGGGATAATGTATAGAACAAGTGAAAGACCCAGCTCTATACTCAAGATGAAGCATTAAACAGTCACTCTCACATTCTCTTGTGCTCCCTTGGCAACTGTTTACATGGTTGTGGGGGTGGCACTCAATGTGAACAAGAGCAGGAAAATAGGGTTTTTGTAACTTAATGGTAATCAGTGATTAACTTAATGTAGAACAATAAAACAAAATTTTAATTAGATCAGAAAAACTGCCTACACTTCATAAAGTTTGGAGAGTTTAGGAAAGTGAATTTCACAGTACAGCACAGCCACACAAACCAGAAATGTCTCTGGTTCAATACCTGCTGTATGTCAAGCAAGACAATCTCAACTGGGCAGAAATAGCCTCAGTTTCACTCGAGTAAAGAAAGGGTAATCAGGCAGGCTTTCTGCTGTTGCCAGTCACTTCTCACTGACTGGGAACCATTTATGGGCATTATAATTGGCTATGATGCTGTCCACGAATGAAAAGGAAAGACTTAGAGTCATAGAGTCATACAGCAGGGAAACAGAACCTTTGGCGCAATTTTCCACACCAACCAGACATCCTAATCTGACCTAGTCCCATTTACCAGCATTTGCCCCATATACCCATCCAGATGCCTTTTAAATGTTGTAATTGCATCAGCCTCAACCACTTCCTCTGGCAGCTTGTTCCATATATGCACCACCCTCTGCATGAAAAGGTTACCCCGCAGATCCTTTTTAAATCTTTCCTCTCTCACCTTAAAGCTATGCCATCTAGTTTTGGATTCCTCCACCCTATCCATGCCCCTCGTGATTTTATAAAGCTCTATAAGGTCACTCCTCAGCTTCTGATGCTCCAGGAGAGAAAGCTCTAGCCTATTTGGCATCTCCCTATAAGTGAAGCACTCCAGGCTCAACAACATCCTTTTAAATCTTTTATGCACCCTCCCAAATTTAATAACATCCTTCCTATCGAAGAGCCGCCTGAATTGTACAGAATGCTAAGAATGGCTTCACCGATGTCCCAAACAGCTGCAACGTGATATCCCAACTCCTATACTCAGTGTTCTGACCAATGAAGGCAAGCGTGCCAAATGCCTTCTTCACCACCCTGTCTACCTGTGACTCCACTTTCAAGGAACTACACACCTGCACTCTTATGCCTCTTTGTTTGACAACATATTGCCCTATCCATTCAAGAGATAATCTTCATCACTGTCCATAGGATGACACCTATCTTGGTGTCATCTGCAAACTTACTAATCATATATTCACATTCCAAATCATTTATATAAATGACAAGAAGCAGTGGACTCAGCACCTTCTAGCACACTGCTGGTCACAGGCCTCCAGTCTGAAAAGCAAGCCCCGACCACCACCCCATTCTCCTGCCTTCAAGCCAATTTTGTATCCAACTGACTAGCTCCCCCTTGATCCCATGTGATCTATTCTTACTAACCAGTCTGTCATCCAGAACCCCCTTGTTGAACGCTTTGCTGAAGTCCATATGGACAATGTCTATCACTCTTCCTTCACCAATTTTTATGACCTCTTCAAAAAAACTCAATCAAGTTCGTGAGACACGATTTCCTACACACAAAGTCATGCTGACTATCTCTAATCAATCCTTGCCTTTCCAAATATATATAAATCCTGTCTCTCAGAATCCCCTCCAACAACTTACGCACCACTGACATAAGGATCACCTGTCTATAGTTACCTGGCTTTACCTTACAGCCTTTCTTAATCAATGGCACCACATTAGCCAACCTTTGTATTTCGAGACCACTTTTCCTGACTGCTGGATATTTTGAAGCGCTTTACAGCCAATTAAGTACTTTAAAAACGTAATCACTTTTGTACTGTAAGAAACGCTGCAAGCTCCCATAAACTGTAATGGGATAATGCCCAGATAATCTGTTTGTGATGCTGATTGAGCGATAAATGTTAGCCATGATAGTGATGATAACTTCCCTGCTCTTCTTTTCCAAAAGATAGTATCTCTAACAACATAGCACTTTCTCAGTACCGCACTGCTGTCTCTGCTCAGGTTCTGGGCTGAGAGTTGAAACTTGTGATTTAGAGACTGAGGATGTTACCCACTGAGCCAAAGCTGACACACTGTGGCTTTTTAAATGAACTATTAGGTTGCTGTCAGCATGTACAATATAGATTTGTACTCAATAATTCTGAAAAGAGAAGTGGAGAAGCAAGTAGAAATGGAAAAGAAAACTATTTCGTGATTTAACATCAGAGGTTGGACACTTTATTTACACAAACTTTCACTCTGCCAGTGGTTCTAAAGGTGTGGAAATTAAGTATCTTGATCATTTTAATTGAATCTTCCACTTGTACCATTTGGTTAGTAAATTAAGGAAAATCAAACTTTCAACAAAATTCCTTCTCAATATTGGGGGGAAAATGGTGCTGAGTTATATCATCTTTGTGACAATTACAGTGGGCATTCTTCTTGATTCCATTTTTTCCTTTGCAGGTTGCACTTCATGCATGTGGAGTGGCAACGGACATGGTGATTGATCATTGCATGAAGGCACAAGCAGCCTTTGTTATCTCTCCATGCTGTTATGGCTTCATACAGAACACAGTCAAGTTTTCTTTCCCCAGAAGGTAAGGCTTCCTAATGTTTCATTTTCATGCTTTGGCTAGCATTACTGGTACTTTCTAGTGAAACTTGTCTCTTTTCATGTGTAAGTCATTTGGGGCTCTTCGTTCAATAACCAGTCATTCAAAATTTGATTTTTCTATGTGTTGTTAATTTAAAAGTTCTGTCTGTACACAAATACCTGAATGTTCTGCCTAATTGGCTGTTATAATTTGCAATTGAGACTGCTTCTGATCTTCCCCTAGCCACTCGCTGACTTAAACACAAACAGTATGTGGCATCATCATTAAATGACATGTAGATGGCCTAAAATTAATATATTCTGTTTTATCATGTGAAACCATGGACTGATACATTTTCTAGTATCCCTCATCCATTTATATATGCATTTTGAGTACCACTCTGGACCAAGATAATTCTTTCCTTTTATGTATCTTTGTTTCATAAACCCATTGTACGCTCTTCTCCATTTTCCTCTCCTTCTGCCTCCTTTAATATTTTTCTTCTTTGGGTACTTGGCCATCCCAAATCCTTACTCAACTTGACCTACTTATTCTCTTGTTGAACCTCCTATGACTCTCCTCAAGTTATGACTTCTTGTGCACCCCGACTTCCTTTCCTTTCAACTTCAGCCATAGGAACTCTAAGAACTCTAACCCTAACCCTAACCCTAACCCTCCCCCTACCGCATCCCAAAACCAGTCCAGCTCGTCCCTGCCTCCCTAACCTGTTCTTCCTCCCACCTATCCCCTCCTCCCACCTCAAGCCGCACCTCCATCTCCTACCGACCAACCTCATCCCGCCCCCTTGACCTGTCCGTCCTCCCTGGACTGACCTATCCCCTTCCTAAATCCCTACCTACACTCACCTTTACTGGCTCCATCCCCGCCTCTTTGACCTGTTTGTTCCTCTCCACCTATCCTCTCCTCTATCCCTCTTCTATCCGCCTCCCACTCTCTCCCTATTTATTTCGGAACCCCCTTCCCCTCCCCCTTTTCTGATGAAGGGTCTAGGCCCGAAACGTCAGCCTCTCTGCTCCTATGATGCTGCTTGGCCTGCTGTGTTCATCCAGCCCTGCACCTTGTTGTCTCGGATTCTCCAGCATCTGCAGTTCCTACTATCTCTGATTCAATCCCCCTATAGACCTTCTGCTTTGCTATTTCCTTTTCCCCATTTAAGATGCTCCTTAAAATCTACTACTTTAACCAAGTTTTTGGTCACTTGTCCTAATGCTTACTGTTTTAGCGTGCTGTATATAATTGAGGACCTGTGAAGCACCTTGAGATAATAAAGCTCTGTTGAAGTAGATATTCTATTAGTGTGGTAATATGTACAGGTTACAGTCTTGGTGGAGAGGCCTTCTTGAGATCTTCCTGTTCTGTAACTGTGCAAAACATGAACCAAGTTTATGTTTTTACTGATACAAGTTTTTTTGACTGGATGAGTCAAGAAGAGGGCATCTATGGTAGGAGGTAACGCACAATTCTAACATTTCCTGTGAACTGTTGAAAGCAGCTATAACATTGATTGTCAAATCAATTGATTCAAACATTATAGCAACAAAACTTTCAATTTGAAGAGACACACACTGAGATTGTGGAATATGTTTTGGCCAGCCTTGGGATTCAACCTTCTGTATTTCCAAGCATTTCTGCGGAAACCGTTCATGTACCGTTCATGTTCTGTCGAGAGGTCAGTTTACAACTCATTCAGCTAATACTTCTAACAATGTAAGAAGTGCTTAAGTGTTAAGAAGTGTTGTCATGATTTACAAATACATTTAAAGCCTGACACCCACACTCTTCCTTTAATAAAATGACCAGAGGATCAAACCAAGGCTCTTGTTTAAAGAGCTGAATGCCTTTTTTACACTTAGAAAAGCCAAGATGCATTCCAAGCCTCATATAGTTATATATATTTCCCATAAATTGTAAGCACTCAGTAAACAGTGAAAAAAATTGCAAATGTGAATCAAGTACAAAATTCTAAAGGGTTGTGCTCAGTCACATTTACATTTTACTTTTCTAAACATTTTGTTGTGTCCCACAGTTTATAACATGTTAACAAATACCATGGATGCTGTATTGCACGTATGTGCAAAGGTCTTCAGTCTCGATGCTGAGCTGAATGTTATTGCTAACTGTAAAATCCCATGCTGAAAGTGTTTTAAAGCTAATTGAGCGTTAAGACTAATGTCAGTCTATCCCAATGGAGCACCTCAATGTAGATGTTCTGAACAGCCATTGAGCAAAGTCTCTGCCCAGTTATAGCCAAATTATACCTTTGCTGAGCACCCTGCGATGTTTCTTTGCTTTAAAGGCACTAATATTGCAAATTGTTGTAGCTGCAGGTCCCAAAGGAAAGGAAGGTATTGGTGTTTGAGAGCTGGCTCAGGACAGGGTCATAGAATCATAAATATGTACAGCGTGGAAACACACCCTTCAGTCCAACTCGTCCATGCCGACCAGATATCCTGAATAAATCTAGTCCCATTTGCCAGCATTTGGCCCACGTTCCTCTCAACCCTTCCTATTCATGGACCCTTCCAAATGCCTTTTAAGTGTTGTAATTGTACCAGCCTTCACCATTTCCTTTGGCAGCTCATTCCATACATGCACCACCTTCTTTTGAAAAGGTTCCTCCTTAGGTCCCTTTTAAATCTTTTCCCTCTTACCTTAAACCTATGCCCTCTAGTTTTGAACTCCCCCACCCCAGGGAAAAGACCTTGTCCATGCCCCTCATGATTTTATTAACCTCTATAAGATCACCCATCAGCCTCTGACACTCCAAGGATAATAGCTCCAGTCTATTCAGTTTTTCCTGTAGCTCAAACCCTCCAACCCTGGTAACATCCTTGTAAGTTTTTTCTGAACCCTTTCAAGTTTCAAAAACATCTTCCCTTTAGCAGAGAGACCAGAATTGCAAGCAGTATTCTAATAGTGGCCTATCCAATGTCCTGTACAGCTGCAACATGACCTCCCAACTGCTATTCTCAATGCACTGACCAATAAAGGCAAGCATACCAAACATCTTCTTCACTATCCTATCTACTTGTAACTCCACTTTCAAGGAACAATGAACCTGCACTCCAAGGTCTCTTTGTTCAGCAACACTCCTCAGGACGTTACCATGAAGGTCATCCATCCATTGGTCATTTGTTCTTTGATGTAATTGGCTCAGTTTTATAACATGCTGCAGAAAGCAGTTTACAACAATCATTTTGTAAACTTTATTTCAGAATTGTAATGGATGTCACTTCACAAGAATCCTTTATACCTATCTATCTAATTATAACAGCCACATGCATGTCCGGAGTACTTAAAGGTACACAAATTTGAACATTCTGATTCCACATGGAAATGAATGTATGAATAAAGACACACAAGTATCAGTACATGCATATAGGTATGTAGATGACTAGCCATTGATGCCAGAGTAAGCAGAAGAATCAATGAAGTGAGTGCTAATCCTTGCATTAAACATAAAAACTAGGAGCAGAAGTAGGCAATTTAGCCCCTCAACCCTACTCTGCCATTTAATACGATCATGTTAAGTGTTTGCCTCAGATGCAAGAACTAATTATTATTATGATTTCTTTTGTTTTAGCCAAAAGTTCAGCAGCATATTGTCATATAAGGTATGTATCATTTGTCTAGAGGTTTGTGCACCATTGTTGAGGAAGGAAGCCTCTGGTGTCACCATCAGTCGGATGAATAGATCACTAACAAACAATATTACATAACTGTGCAATTGTTAGAAAGGATTTTTGACATAGACTGATAAATAATTCATTCAATAATACTTAAATTGAGAGGCAAATTTAGACATCTTTGTTTTCTTTCTGTTACTTAGAGTATTAACATCATCCTTTGATGTATATGGATTGGTTCATGTAACTCCTTTGCATTGATTTAAAATATTGCATTATCATTTTATATGTGCATTAATTCAACATTACTACAGTGACTACTTCTTAAAAGTACTTAATTAATTATAACTTTTTGAGGAGAATGAATTCATAATAACTGCTTCTTGGATGCAAATTCTTCCTGCTTTTAAAATTGCTGAACGAAGGTGATGGGACCCATGGAGCATGGGAGGTGATGGTTAGTGGTCAGAATTGCTTTGTACAATGTTCCTGCATGGCGTTTGCAAGTTAGTGGATGATAGGACAAATGATGCAAGAGTTAGACTGTGAAAATTGTTTAAAATACATTGGAAGAATGCTGTTACAGCTTCATATGGAAGCTAGCTAAGTGCAGCATTATGCATTTGAGTAAGCCAAACATGAAGTATACTTGCAAAGTACCATGAATAGAACTGAAGGCATTTGAGAGAAGGAGGAGTTTTAATTTTAATGCTCTATGGGTATATGACCACAATTAAGAAGCTAATGCCAAAGCAAATAGGATTTTGGGTTGTATTAACAGTGCTATTCAGTATATAACAAAAGCTAACGTTCACTTTTAATATATTTATTATTTTGATGTTAATTTTACAGACAAACCCTCAATTTGGCAGTGGTACATCCAAAATGCAAATAGGATTGCAATGCAGTGTGAGGTGAAAGAGGAACCACCTGAGTTCACTAGCAAGAACAATAACATTTTTTCTAGCCGTTCTGTTTAATTCGGAGGTGTAGACAGACTGATGTAAAAGTAGCTCATTTAGTATGCAAAAAACTCTGCTATTACATTGTTCCAGCCATTGGTAATTTAAGTCAATGAGCATGCCGGTTTAGGTTAAAAAGGCTGTCTGCTTCTTTGATTAAAATTTAGAAAAATCAAAAAATCATGGTTACATAAGTAATGTTAAAAAATTAATGCTAAAACTGACTATAATTACTAACCTCAAGACTTGTGGCATCAAAAGACAGAGGTTATATTCTAAATTTTCTGGATGGCTATGGTTTTCTAGATTGCTTACCCATTCAGACAGTATTGCTGTCCGATTCCCTACCGTTGTCTGTTCAGATAATGAATTATCTTGTCTTATTTTGTTTTTATTCTAGTTTCACACTTGTCTATTTTCTTTGAGGTGCCCAAGCCATTGTAATTGACAATTAAGTGTGATTCACCTCGGTACGTCCTTACAAAATCTGTCACTGCTCCTTTTTGTTCCAGGAACACATGATTCTGTGCAGGTTTGCAGATCAGACAGCTGTTCACCTCCCTCCAGAACGCAAGATAATAGGTATGAGGACAGCTGTTTTTAATGTATAGCATTGTTGAAGAAGATGAATGAATGTGTTTCTGACGGGTAGGACTCATTGCTCCATCAATGGGGAAACAGTGTTCAGTGTACTCGAGGCTAGTAATCTGTGAAGCAACAATTCATCTTAATGAGGATACCAAGTTTATTTTAAGAAGTAATACTCTCAGAATCATTGACACTTAGAGCACAGGAGGAGGCCATTGATAAAATAGGGTCAGACTCTAAATGTTGTCAGTGAACCCCTGCTTGTATGCATTCATGAGAGCCCTTTTTTTTTATTCATTCTTGGGGTATGGGTGCCAAGGGCCAGCACTGGCTCTTTGCAAGAATTATTGAATTATTCGCACTCCTATACTCAATCCTCACATTCCTGCACTTTTTTTTCCTTTGCATGTATATCTCCAATGCACTTTTCTGAGTTACTGTTAAATCTACTTCCATCAGCCTTTCATGCAATCCATAATGTGGATTTCCTAAAAATTATTCTCCAAATTTCTACTCTGCCTTCCATGCTTTTTCACGAATTATCTGAAATCTGTTTCCTCTGCTTATTATTGGCCCATCTGTCATTGTAAACAATTTCTCAACACCTATAAAATTATGCATAATTTTGATTGACTTTCAAGATAACTTTCGTCACTCAAGGGGGCATTCAATCTTCCTGCTACATTTACAAGTAGTCCGATTTTTTGAAGGAATGGATTCTGGTGGCCAGGTCTCCTGTCTGAAACACTTACTCTACACCACTTGGACTGCAGCAGTTCAAGAAGGAGCTCGCCACCACCTTCTCAAGGGCAGCTAGAGAAGACAATAAATGCTGGTCCAGCCAACGACACCCACGTCCCATGAACGAATAAAAAAAAGGAGGGCTCTCATGAATGCATGCAAACAGGGGTCCATGTTGTCATTTAGATTCTGACCTTATCTTATCAATTAGCCATGGTCACTGCAGTTCAGGAGACAGCCACTTTGACCAACGTTTGAAGGGATCCTCAGCTGCTCGTGGGTTAAGCTGTCTAGAGTTTTCCGCACACGTTTTTCTTGCAATTTGTTTTACACCCCCTCAAAGGATCAAGGATTGCTTGATTGGTGTCCTAACCAGTAGATTCAGCATTCATTCCCTTCACCACCAACACACAATGTCTTCGGTGACATTCCAGGGTGCCTTCAACAGCACCTTCCAAACCTATGACATCTACCATCTAGAAGGACAAAGGCAGCAGATGCACATGAACACCACCTGCAAGTTCCATTCCAATTCACAAACTGTTCTGATTTGGAACCATATTGCCATTCCTTCACTGTCACTGGGTCGTTGTCTTGGAACTCCTGACAGCACATTAGGGTCTACTTGCCCAAGAACTATAACGCTTAAAGAAGGCAACTCACCATCCCATGAAGAATACAAAAAAGACACTGTTGTTGGTTCTACAGTAATGTTGTTTGCCTGTTTAGTCTTCCTTCCTTCCCTGACAGATCAAAAATGAAAATCCTCTTTAAGCCGCTGTACAAGGCTGTTGAGACTGATAACACTGTCTGATATCTCATCCCTAAACCAGACAACTATTTGCAGTCACCATGCTTCATGCTGGTAGCTCTCTCACTGTATATTAACAAAGGGAGACCCTGGGAAATGACACTGAGTGATTGATATTCTTAGCCCATTCTCCTCCCATCCATCTACCACTTGGACACAAAAGATATGACCCATATGTTTTTACATCAAATGGAATTTACTTATTTACTGGTAGCAAGCAAGACCATGACTTTAATTTCCCACAGAGAAGCGATGGAAAGTGTGTGTATCGTTTTTGTAAGACTAAATCTTAGTGAAAGAGGCCATTTGGCCCATCGAATGCTAATGTCACTGGATTCATATGTTGTCGCAAGTTCATGCTCACCATGCAGCTGAACAAATTTAAATTCAATTATTAAAAAATCTGGACTAGTCTCAGCAATAGTGACCATAAATGGTGGACAAATTATTGGAAAGGGCTCTGAGAGACAGGACTTATGATCACTTGGAAAGGCACAGTTTGATTCGTGATAGTCAGCATGGATTTGTGAGGGGTAGATCATGCTTTACAAACCTTATTGAATTCTTTGAAGAGGTGACCAAACACATGGATGAAGGTGGAGCAGTGGATGTGGTATACATGGATTTAAGTAAGGCATTTGATAAGGTTCCCCATGGTAGGCTCATGCAGAAGGTAAGGAGGCATGGGATAGGGGGAAATGTGGCAGATTGGATTCAGAATTGGCTGACCCTTAGAAGACCAAGGGTGGTAGTGGACGGAAAATATTCAACGTGGTGCTCAGTTACGAGTGGTGTACCACAAGGATCTGTTCTGGGCCCTCCTCTATTTGTGATTTTTGTAAATGATTTGGATGAAGGAGTGGAAGGGTGGATTAGCAAGTTCGCGGACGATACGAAGATGGGTCACATTGTGGACAGTGCGGAGGGCTGTTCTAGGTTACAAAGGGACATTGATAGAATGCAGAGCTGGGCTGAGAAGTGGCAGATGGAGTTTAACCCTGAAAAGTGTGAGGTGATTCATTTTGGAAGGACAAACTTGAAAGCAGAATACAGGGTTAATGGAAAGATTCTTGGCAGTGCGGAGGAGCAGAGGGATCTTGGGGTTCATGTTCACAGTTCCCTGAAAGCTGCCACCCAGGTAGATAGAGTTGTTAAGAAGGCGTATGGTGTGTTAGCTTTCATTAATAGAGGGATTGAGTTCAAGAGCCGTGAAGTTATGCTCCAGCTATACAAAAGCCTGGTTCGGCCACATCTGGAGCATTGTGTCCAGTTCTGGTCACCTCATTGCAGGAAAGATGTGGAAGCGTTGGAAAAAGTGCAGAGGAGATTTACCAGGATGTTGCCTGGAATGGAGGAAAGGTCTTATGAGGAAAGGTTGAGAGCGCTAGGGCTTTTCTCTTTAGAACGACGAAGGATGAGAGGTGACTTGATAGAGGTGTACAAAATGATCAGAGGTATAGATAGAGTAGACAGCCAGAGACTTTTTCCTAGGGTGGAGGTAGCTTTTACGAGGGGACATAGTTTTAAAGTGAAAGGAGGTAGATATCGGGGAGACGTCAGAGGTAGGTTCTTTACTCAGAGAGTGGTAGGGGCGTGGAATGCATTGCCGGAGAGGATAGTGGAGTTGGCCTCATTAGGGGCATTTAAGCGGCTATTAGATAGGCATATGGATGGTAGTATAAGGTAGCGGTGGAGGTTAGATAGACCTTAGGTTTCGGGTAAAAGTTCGGCACAACATCGTGGGCCGAAGGGCCTGTACTATGCTGTACTCTTCTATGTTCTATAAATCTATAATTGATTGTTGTGGAACCCCAACAGGTTCACTAATATCCTTTAGGGAAAGAAATCTGCTTTCCTTAAGTTGTCTGGCCATCATGTGTCTCCAGCCCTGAAGTTTACTTGTAAATACCCTCTGAAACAGCCTAACAGACCACCTGGTTCAAGATCAAGTAGGGATACCAGCAAAGAAACATGCCAGTGAAAGAATGGCAGAAACTACATGGCTGGTTCAAAGTAACATTGAATTGCAGTGGACATAGATCAAACATAGACCTAATGAACTGCTGAAACTAGGGACTGTTTGGTGAGGCAACAAGTTTGTAATATGATTATTGAGTCTGGAAAACGTGTCCATTTTACCTCGTTAAACTTATTCTTTTCCTTCTCTTCCCCTGTCTCCCTGCAATGTGTCAATTTCTTTCTGCTTCACCCTAAAGTTGTTTATTGAACGTTAATTATGAATGGTGTTGCATGATTAAATAATTAGCTGGAAGCAAAAACAAAGTTGCTGGAAAAGCTCAGCAGGTCTGGCAGCATCTGTGGAGGAGAAAACAGAGTTAACGTTTCGGGTCCAGTGACCCTTCCTCATGACTGAATGTGGCTGGGAAAACGTCAGTTTATATGCAGAAAATAGGGAGGTGGGTGGGGTAGGGAGTAAACGATAAGATAGAGCCCAAAGAGAGAGAAAGACAGTTGGACAGACAAAGGACTTGCTAACGATCAGGCTGGGAGGGGGAGTAGTTGTTAATGGGGGCTGTTAGTGACTAACAACAGCGGGTGTGTAGTGGCATGCTATGTGGTAACAAGGCCTGGTGTGTGGGGTGGGGGGCTAGGACATGGGAGAGTTTAGGCCCTAAAATTATTGACCTCAATATTGAGTCCGGAGGGCTGTAGGGTCCCCATGCAGAAAATGAGGTGTTGTTCCTCCAGCTTGCGTTGGGCTTCACTGGAACACTGTAGCAAGCCGGAGACAGAGATGTTGGCCAGAGAGCAGGGTGGTGCTTTGAAGTGGCAGGCAACAGGTAGTTCAGGGTCTTTATTGTGAGCAGAACGTAGATGTTCTGCGAAGCAGTCGCCAAGTCCTTTGTCTGTCCAACTGTCTTTCTCTCTCTTTGGGCTCTATCTTATCGTTTACTCCCTACCCCACCCATCTCCCTATTTTCTGCATATAAACTGACGTTTTCCCAGCCACGTTCAGTTCTGAGGAAGGGTCCCTGGACCCGAAACGTTAACTCTGTTTTCTCCTCCACAGATGCTGCCAGACCTGCTGAGCTTTTCCAGCAACTTTGTTTTTGTTCCTGATTTACAGCATCCGCAGTTCTTTTGGTTTTTAATTAGCTGGAAGCAGTGGCTCAACAGTATCTCCATCCTACAGGCCCCAACCATATATGTCCCAGTGAAAGTACTCACTGTTAAGAAGACTAGTACCCCAGAACTGACTGCGCCCCCTAGCCACGCTGTTCCTGTCCAGCTAAAATGCTGGATCTGACAATGTGGAAAATTTCTTGGGAATGTTGCTGGAAGAGTCCAGCACACAATGCAAAAAACAAGCCTGAAGTATTTGCATCCACCATCAGCCAGAAGTGCTGAGTGAATGATCCACCTCTGCCTTCTACCCCTGCCTTCATCTAGAACCCCAGCATTGCAGTTGCCAATCTTCAGC